TTCTTCTCAGAAGAACTTGTAATGTGAAAATGCCTCCATATGCTAGATGTTGGTCTCACCATTTTCCTGAGGGGAGTAGGAAGAAAGAAAAATAATTTAATAGTTAGTTTGCAAGAAGACACTAATCTATGGTTGTGGGCAATGTTCCCTCTAAGCTGTGGAGTCTTGTGAGCAAAAATTCTACTATGTGAGCTACTGGCATGAAAGTTGTGAGAGAGCAATTTGGCTACTGCATAAAATAGTTTGCTCTGGAGCCATCCTTCCTGATCTAAGAAAAAAAGTGTGAACCGGAAACTAAAAAACTGTGAGCTAGCTCACACTAACTCAGCTTAAGGGGAACACTGGTTGTGGGTGGGGAAATAAAAAACCAGGTTAATAGTAATTAAATTATTTACACAAAGGTTATAAAGATAAACTAATGTATCTAAATGATTCGGTGTTCTGGAATCAGACAAATGAAAACTCTTACCTTTTTAAAATAAGTATATACTTTCAGGTCCTTTTTGTTGCTCTGTATTTTCTTCCAATGCTTTGAGGCCTAGTGGAACCTGAGTGCCAGAATACCTACCTACATGCAAAAACAAAACTGAAACCTTTTCCTTTTCTTGTGACAATAGCACCTCCTAAAGGAAGAAATGCATCTTGTTCTTGCATTGAAGAGTTCAGTTTGTAAGGACTTGCTTGTCCTCAGTGCACAGAAATTAATCTGATATCATACATATTTTTTAGAAATGAATATTTTATTCATTATGTTAAATATTCATCATGTTAAAATAAAATGTTCCATAATCAATTTTTTTTTCTTTTCTTTTTTCAATTTTTCCAATTTTTCAGGAAAAAAACAAAAAAAGCTCCAGGAAAAAAACGTTTCCCCCCCGAATTTTTCCGTTTTTTTTCCCAGGCCTTCACATCTCTAGCCAACCCTGGCAAGTACTTGGATGGGAGACCTCCAAGGAATACCAGCAGTTGGGAGGTGGGGGCAGGCTTTATTCAGGCCAGTCATCAGAGGTCACCATGACTTCCAGGTGCGCACACACAAAAATACCCCAAAAAAACCCCAGGCTGGAGCTGTTTTTGCCTATACTTGTTTTAGAAACTCCTTCCTTTTAAACACTGCTGACTTTGCTACTTTGAACCGCGATACTGTAGACTGAATTATTGTGGCACACAGTACATGGGGTTGCCCTTGAAGACAGCCCAGAAGCATCAGTGACCGCCTGCCTGCTGGCTTACAAGATTTAGCTGCTGTGCACACATAACACCAGTCTTGAAGCACTTGCAGCTGGCTTCCTCTTTCCTTCTGGCTCTTAGGTTTTTAAAACTGGTAATATCTGAAGGGCCACCTCTGTCTCTCTCAGCCTTGTGTCCCCTGTACAACTTGTAAGTGTTTCTCCTCTTGAGCATGTTCTGCCTCTGTGATTTTACTGTGTGGAATTGCATTCTCTTTAACTGTTATGTGCCCCCCCCAGTCATATTTGTGTGTTGCCTTGGGCTAAGCAGAAATGGGATATAAATATCTTTAGGGTGCAGTGGTTAGTTGCTTCTGTGACTATTGTCCTTTTCTGTCCCTCCATATTCTCTTTAACTGTTATGTGCCTCCCCCCCCAGTCGTATTTGTGCGTTGCCTTGGGCTAAGCAGAAATGGGATCTAAATATCTTTAGGGTGCAGTGGTTAGGTGCTCCTGTGACTATTGTCCTTTTCTGTCCCTCCACCAGATGGAAGACCTCTATGAAGATTTCCACATTGTAAAGCTGCCACTCCTGCCCCATGAAGTTCGAGGCGCTGACAAAGTCAACACTTTCTCAAGTCTGCTACTGGAGCCCTACAAGCCACCGAGTGCAAAATGAAGCCCTATGGACTGGCTCCCATTGATTTCCCCTGTCAACCATTCCATGCCTGCCCTTCCTCACCCCTTTCTTGGTGGAACTCCCTCCCCTTCCAAATAGCCTCGTTTACCTCTTGCAGTTGTGTGATTGATGGGATGGTGGTGGGGTTGGAAGAGGCAGAATTTGGAGGTCCTACTTGTTTCTTCCTTCATGCTGATACTTCATGGGACATCCTAAAACCAGCCACAACATTGAATCTTTCCCCCTTAGTGACCAGCTAGCTAATTTAAACGTGGGTCATCATGTTTTCTCTCTGTCACTCCAGCTTCTCCTTTTTATCATATCTCCTGGCACTGAGGCCTTTTTGGTTGAGGTTCCAGTCAGGTGCTTTGGTGAAAGAATGTCACTCTATTTACACCAAGGCCATCCATCATAATGGGAGGTATGTAAATAAACGGTAAGGGAAACTAGTTTGCTGCTGTCCTTCAGTCAGGCCATAGTTTTCACTTCTGGTGGGAGATCTCAGCAGAGTGTGGAGGACACATGGGAATGCTGGAGGGTGTCCTTTGTTGGAGGGGAAGCATCTTTGCACATCTTCTGCTTGAAAGCTTTGTTTTCTTAAGGCTAGGAAAGCATGAAGAATGAAGATGCCTTGTACTGCTGTTCAGCTTTTCCCAGGAGTTGATGAGAAGTGTGGATTTGTAATCACCATGAACCCCCAACTTTTCAGGAGCTATACAGGGTTTTCAAGTTCCATATATCTTAAGTAAATATAACACGAGAGTCCCATGGTCAGATCTTCCACGATCTTTAGTTTAAAGACAGTCATGGTGTGACTTGAAGTGGAATAGGAGGAGTTTCCTGTATGGGAACAGCAGAAGGAGAAAAATAATACTTTCTCTCCCCAAAGCTATTAGATCTGTTGGAGAGAAAAGATGAGTACCTCAGCAAGAATATAGTTCTAATTCTGTAACTATGATGGGTCTCCTAAGAAATCCTTCCTACAAACCATCAATTTTGTTGTAATTCAACCTGTAAACTGATACTAAAGGAACTAGCAATTCTGCATGGTAGCTGATGGAAATAGCTCCCATTACTGTTTCTGGTGTGAAGATTAACGAATGTATGAGAGGGAGCTTAGAAGCACATTAATACAATAAAGTATTATATATATACAGCCCCTGTTCTGATTAAAGAAAGAAATTTACTCTTCAGGAAATAACCATATAAGGATTTATATGGGGTGTATAGTTGGGTTAGAATGAATATCTACTGACTACTCAGTTGTTTGATTAAACAAGTGAGTCTCAGGTGATATTTACAAATTATGTTCTCTGCATTTTTCCTAATTTACTGTGTAAGAAAAGAAAGTACCTGTTACAGTTCTACAGGTCCAAACTAGACAAGATGGGACACCTATATGTGTGAATTCACTTTTGCCCTGTTTGTGTATGAGACTGGGGTGATTTTTTTTTTTTTGCATAAAACACAGAGGAGGGGAGTTACATCTTGCCCCGTCCCCTGATGCATCACTGTGTTCTGTTGCCTGATGCATTTTTCTTTCAGCCCAGCTCTGATACGGGGCAAGCAGAGATGGGAGAAAAGTGCCCTATCGTCTTACAGTGCACTGCTGCCTCATGGATGTACATTTCTGGAGTGAAAGGGAGTTGGCATGGTGCCATTTTGAACAGGGCTGAGAAGGCTATAGCCATTGTTCTGAATGGGGAAGGAAGCCATAGCTTGAAACCTGATGCACTAGGCGTGTGTGGTTGATAGGCCATTTGTACAGGGTGCTCAAGCATCAAGTACGTTTTTCACAGATCAGCCATTTGGGTTTGACCCCAGAAACTTTCTTCAGGTGTTTTTAGTACTGCAACATTTCTGCATGTGCATCTGTAATACAGTTTAAGGGTAATTCAGCTGATATATTATTCAGGTCCCTGAGTGAAGGATCTCAAGGGTTACTTGTACTTAGGTGAATCAATATTTGCAGAAATGGTACAGAACTGGGCGCATCCCTGTTTGAATTAGCAAAGAAGGGAACAGAGAAAGAATGACTTATGACAAAAACACCTGAAGCACATTTAAGAGGTATATCATCCAGGCAGCTCTTACTGCTGCCAACAGGATCTCTCTAAGGCCCACAGCCAAGGGGAGAAGTTGAACAGCAGCGGGCTAGGGCCCAAGTTTTCTTATGTTTCCAGGATTCTGAGCATTCAACAGAAGTGCATATTGAATCAACATCATGTTCCTCTGCATGGACTCTTGCTTCTGTGACACTGTAATTTGAGAGGCAGGGGTCAGAATCTTGATTTCTAGTCTACCATCGGCTCTGACCAGATATCACTAGAGTAGAGATGTGCTACCTCTCCATCTCCTTTTTCTGTCATCTGTGGCTGTGGGACTGTAGGATCTTGATCACCCTTTTGATGTGTTAATTTAGGGGCCTGCTTTAGATCTAGAAATGAACTTTGCGTTTTCTCTTAGTTTGCAACTCCCCAGTTTCCTGTTGGAATATCCCCTAACAGACAACCCAAATGGCTCTGTAAGTTCAGTTATTTCATATGAGCGGTAAACAGGATTCTAAAAAACTAACCTATTCATTACCAGGGATAAGGGAAATTAGGATGAGTACAGAGACTTAAAACTATAGGTAACACACAGTTTTTGCTGGGCTCACTAATTTCAGTTTTTATTCTTGCGGTGAATATTGGCCTTCCCTTAGTTTCAGAAGTCTCACATGTAAATGTGAGTTCCCTGCAGAAACCACAAATCTGTAGCCAGTTTCCCTCAGGAAATAGGCTCTGAGACAGCTATATTCTCTTCCTAAAGCATTCACTATGCGATTCGGCTTTCTCAAAAAGACAGGCTCAGACATCCGGAGTATTCTGAGAGGAATTTGAGCCCTACCCCTTCTGTAAGCACAAACGCCTGCTTAGCTGGCAGTAACGGAATTTTATTTCACTGTCTTTTCCCATCTGGCGTCTTCAACTGCGCATGTGCCCTGATTGGCTGCTGTCTGTTCTGCCTACACCCTAAACAGGCATACAGAGGATAGGTGACTGACAGGAAGGGGCAGGACCTTTGCCCATCCATCACCCCCCACCCTAATATACATGTATTTATTCTTACAAAAAGCCCTGTGTGCTAGGCTAGGTTTAGAGAGGATAGCAAGGGACAATAATAAGAATTTAAATTGCAGTATGTTTAAAGATGGAGCAAAATATATGGACTGGTACAGAAATTATGCTTTGGCAAAACTGTTATATAACTGACAGAACAATCCTGGGTTTCACCAGATGCACTTATATTGAGATGTTGATCTAAGAACATGACCCTTTTCATTCAGAAATGGGGCACGGGGGGCCCAAGCTTCTCAAGCCATCGATGCTTTGTAAGTGGTGGTGTAGACATATGAGAAGTAAAAAGAGAAAGTGCCAAAAGGTTAGGCTTGAGTATTGATGATTCTACTTCATCTCTTGGGGGGGGGGGGATAGAGTTTCCTGCGCAGCAGAGAAATGAAAACTTGATTTCCTGTCTTGTCCTTTAAGCTTGCAAAGTTTTGGGGAGCACTACAAGAACACAACCCCTAGTTAGGGTTTCCATGTGTCCTGTTTGTAGTTCTTAATGTGTTCCTAAATACTAGATGGTGATCTTTAAAATTTGCATATTTAATCCTATCAATGAAGATATAACTAGTGTCCCCCTCCACAGTATCTCTCTAGTCACGTTGTGATGCAGTTTCCAGAGTGTGCAGAAATATTGTCTAATACTGCAGCGTATTCTCCAGAAGGTCTTATCTGGCTGGTCTAGCAAATTTGTTTGGACATATTCCAAGTTTTAAAAATAACATTGTGAAGCTTTGAAAAATATGCATATTTGTGGCACTTCCAGGTAAGGACATGCATTTTTGGAATGGAAGGGCAGTGAAGCTTTGTCTTAACAACTTGATGGGAACGTGAGATCCTTTGGAAGCAGCCTTATCTTGCCACTTACTACTCCCCCAGAAAAGAAAGCAATTATACTCGTTTTTGTTTTTCAAGTGGAGGAGGGTACACACAGACACAGATAAGTTTGTTCAGGATTTGTGTTTTCAGCTTCCAGGCAAGGGGTGAAACTCCATTCTTGGTAACATCTGTGTTTGGCAGGATTCACCTCTCTTCCCCACAGAGTTGTGTGCCAGCCAGGCCCTGTCTCTTTTCCTCTCCCAGAACTGATTGCTGTTACCATATGCACTACTAGATTATGAAACAGGGTCTTGCAGGTATGTGTGCGCTGCTGTGTGCGTGCGTGCGTGCGTGGAAGGGCTCAGGTGGGCGCCCAGGGGTGGCTGCAGTATTATGTAAGTTGCTTTCTGGTGCTGTCTGGAACTCAAGTCTGCCCCAGCGAGGGGCTAAGGAGCTCATTAGCATTAGCTGCTCAGTCAAGCATCCAGAAGCCCAGTATGGCCACAGGAGGCAACTATATTTTTCAAAGGAAAATGCTGTTTTCCCATTAAGTAAAACAGCTTACAGATGTTTGTTAGTAACAGCTGGCTGTTAATGCACTTAGCTTGTGATGTGTCCCCCCCAAAAATCTGACAACCTGAAATGCAAAGTTGCCAGGGTTTTTGATCATTAGAGCCAATTAAGATTTTGGGGAAATCAGTTTCTAATATATGCAGCTCAGTTTCAGAATACATTATGTAAGTTTAGTGATACAGCATTTGAAGCTGAATAACATCTTCCCATTCTGCAATGCTTTGAAAAAGAACACAAGAACTTTCTTTCGCCTTCAACATCACAAAAGATCAAAGCAGGAGAACTGGATCTAAGCCATGGTCCTTCTACACCAGTGATTGTCTCTGCAAACTTTAAGGGGTTTGACAATACAGAAGCCCAATACCCATGTTACCCTGAATACACAGAATCCTTTTAGAGCATGCCCAAGACTTTCTTTATATCTGTACTAATTAACTCTTACATCAATGTGTATGCTGCTGAAGTGTGATTTAGCCCACACATTTACCCAGGTACTGGTCATGGTTTTATTTTTGAAGTAAATGTGTGTTGGTTCCTCTTTACAAGCAGATGTATGTACATTCATTGTAACCTGTATATATAGCTACTCCATGCCCTACACATGGCTTCCCTCACAGTGGCTCATCCATTATGCTGTGATGTCAACTGCTACAAGGCCCAAGGACAAGTCACCAGAGGATGCAAACAACTGATGACAGAATGTAACATGGCGTGGTGAAAAGCACGTTATTAGGATTTAATGAGTGACTGGGGCTGGATAATCTTTTGTTTCAAGAGGGAGTTCAAAAGCTAGAGCAAACAGCCAGGAGCAGAGACCTGAGTCAGATTGAGGTGACAAGAGAGGTCCTACGACTGATAGACAACTTAAAAACGGATAAATCATCCGGCCCGGATGGCATACATCCAAGAGTTTTGAAAGAACTCAAATGTGAACTTGTGGATCTCCTTACAAAAATATGTAATCTTTCCTTAAAATCTGCCTCCATTTCTGGGGACTGGAAAGTAACTAATGTCACTCCCATCTTTAAAAAGGGTTCCAGAAGAGATCTGGGAAATTACAGGCCAGTCAGTCTGGCGTCGATACCGGGTAAGTTGGTGGAAACTTATTAAGGAAAGAATTAGTAGGCACATTGATGAACAAAACCTATTGAAGGCAGACTCAGCATGGGTTCTGTAAGGGAAGATCTTGTCTCACTAACTTGTTAGTGTTTTTTGAGGGAGTGAACAAACGTGGACAAGGGGGACCCAATAGATGTTGTTTACCTTGACTTCCAGAAAGCTTTTGCTAAAGTTCCTCATCAAAGGCTCCTAAGTAAGCTCAATAGTCATGGGATAAAAGGACAAGTTCTCTTGTGGATCAAAAACTGGCTAATTAATAGAAAACATAGAGGGAGTATAAATAGGCAATTTTCTCAGTGGAGGGTGGAAAGCAGTGGGGTACCACAGGGATCAGTACTCGGTCCAATGCTTTTTAACTTGTTTATTAATGATTTGGAGTTGGGAGTAAGCAGTGAAGTGGCTAAGTTTTCAGAGGACACAAGGTTGTTCAGGGTGGTGAGAACCAGAGAGGATTGTGAGGCACTCCAAAGGGATCTGTTGAGAGTGGGCGTCAACATGGCAAATGGGGTTCAATGTGGCCAAGTGCAAGGTGATGCACATTGCAGCCAAAAATCCTTATAAATACACGTTGATGGGGTCTGAACTGGCAGAGACTGACCAAGAGAGAGATCTTGGAGTCGTAGTAGATAACTCAATGAAAATATCAAGACAGTGTGTGACTGCAATAAAAAAGGCCAACGCTATGCAGCCAGTATCATGATGCCCCTGTATAAATCAATGGTGCAACCTCATTTGGAGTACTGGGTACAGTTCTGGTCACCACACCTCAAAAAGGATATTAAAGCATTGGAAAAGGGGATAGAACACTTTCCCTAGGAAGAAAGGTTAAAGCGCTTGGGGCTCTTGGAGAAATGACAGGTGAGGGGTGACATGATCGAGGTTTATAAGATTATGCATGGGTTAGAGCAGGTAGAGAAAGAAGTCCTTTTCTCCCTTTCTCACAATGCAAGAACTCGTGGGCACTCAATTAAATTGCTGAGCAGTCGGGTTAGAACAGACAAAAGGAAGTACTTCCTCACCCAAAGAGTGATTAACAAATGAAATTCACTGCCACAGGAGGTGGTGGCAGCTACAAGCATGGACAGGTTCAAGAGGGAATTAGATAAACATATGGAGCAGAGGTCCATCAGTGGCTATTAGCCACAATGTATGGATAGGGACTCTGGGATAGGTGATGCTCTGTATTCTTGGTGCTTGGGGGATTGAACAGTGGGAGGGCTCCTAGTGTCCTGGCCCCACTGGTGGACCTCCTGATGGCACCTGGTATTTTTGGCCACTGTGACAGTGTTGGACTAGGTGGGCCATTGGCCTGATCCAACATTGGTGTCTATTACGTTGTTTTTTCTGGGTGTGATTGAAAAGGCATAGCGGAAGATGGCCTGTCCATTCCCAAGGCTTGCCCAGATCACGCTGTAAGAGCTTTTAGTAATAGATTCTGCCATGCCTATTTTGAAGATAGGGTTGCCAGCTTTGAGTTGGGAAATAGCTGGAGGTTTTGGAGGTGGAGCCTGGGGAGGGGAGGGGCCTCAGCAGGGTATAATGCCACAGAGTACACCCTCCAAAGCAGCCATTTTCTTCAGGGGAAATTATCTTGGATCCTAGAGATCAATTGTATTAGAGATCTTCAGGTGCCACCTGGGGGTTGGCAACCCTATTTGAGGGTAAGGATGGCAGGTGCCACCCCCATTATGTTATCCTTCTTTGGGCCCACAGCAGTTGATGGAGAATCTCCTGGTTATAGTAGTATCCAAGTATAAAAACATCTGGTGTGGCCACAATGGGCTTAGCCACATAACTGAGTTTTCTCCCTTCTTGCCAGCTACCAGACTCTCTTCTTATAGTTCTGGCTTGCCACAAATGAGAAATGGCAGAGTTTTCAGTTTAAGTATCTATGGCTCGTATACATAAAATAAAAGGGCTCTGTCCTGATGCCTAGCCTCAGAATTGGAGACTGCCATGTTGGCTCAATCACTTGAAGAGTACTTAGCAGGAGTTCTCATAGATGCGTCCACTCAACTACCAGGGTTGGGCTCCAGCAAGTAACTGGTAACTGCCCAGTTTACCCACTTAGAGCTGCACAGGTCACCACAATAAGCAGAAATCTGGAGCTGCTACACACAGATGCATCTCAAGGAGTTTTAAAAGGTTTGGAATTATCATTGGGCATATGGGCTAGAAGGGGATGCCAGGCAATTGGCAGGGTCTGGATTGCTGCTTGATCTTTTCTATATGGATGCTGATGCTAAACTTTGCTGGCAGTGGTCAAGGGCAGCAATATTGTCCATGTTAAGAATTGTCCATGCTCAGCAGTTAATGGGAGCCAGCAGAATTGGTATTAGGTGTAAGAATTGTCTTAAGCAAATGACACCATTCAGCCTCAGTTCCCTCCTTTAAAATGGGAGTAAACAGCAATTTAACACCCAAGAGCAGTCAGAATATTTTATTAATAGATTTTGAAGCCTTCAGATGGTGCCTAGCTTCTCTAAGGACTTTATAAATATTATTGTTATTGAACAGTAAGTTAATTTCAAATAAGGGTTTACTGACTTCTGAGAAGGGAAGAAAGAATCTCTAGAATTTTTTCAGTGTCCTAGAAGTGGTACAGTGGCTCGGCTGTTCAGACAACCCTATACAAATGTGAACACTGTAAATTATACTTCCCTCCCTGAACTAACTGAAATGTGGTATGATTTAAGAAGATGGGGACTAGTCCTTTTCCAGGTCCGAGAAGTCAAATGGAAGGCTTGATCGGTGTTCTGTTAAACTAGGCTCGGTATTTTGTAGCTGTATGCCTCTTTTAACAGATGAAGCTGCTTCCAAAGTTGGGGACTGTGTCAGTCTGGCTGTCCTTGTTTTATGCCTATTGCAAAGGCCACACCGTGACAGTTTGCTACTCAAAGGGACTGCTTGTGGGCAGCACAGTTGGGTGTCAGTTTGTTACTGAAGTGGGTGGTTTATTTGCTGTGCAGGCCACTCGTGAATACTAGCTGGGAAGGGCACCGCCAGCCCATGATAGCTGGGAATATCATAACATAGTAGAATTAACCCCAATCACCCAGTAGTGAATGCAACAGAACTGGTGGTGGTCTGGAAGAACCCAGGAATTCTTATTTCTTTTTGCTCAGGATTTTAATCACAACAAACACATCTCCTTCCTCACTGAGCTGGAAATAGAACCCAGAGTTTACGGCTTTCATGCAGAACTATCCAAGCAATTGCAGGAAGAAGAGAACAGACCTTTCCCATTCATACCTTGTTTCTGTCTTCTGTACTAGCTCCGTCTGTAGTGGGGATTGTTTGCCTACTCATTTGCTTGGTTTGTGGCTGTATGAGAAGCCAAACCCTGAGGCTGCTGACTTGTCAAAAAGTGGAAAAGGAAAAAGCCCAGCGGGTAGAGTGGTTCCATCAGCTGTATAGAGGAGAGGGAATTAAGAGTGTTTATACAAACAGACAATGGACAGGCTCTAGAACGTCATGGGACTTACAGCCAAAGACCCCCAAAAAAGGACACCTAGAACTGATAATCAGTATAGAATTTCTGCCTGCATATCAGATATTCATGTACCCAACTGTGTTAGCCTATCCTTCCCCTACTCAGCTTAAAACCCAAAAACCATTTTTGGATATTTTTGCTCATCTGTAAAAGGTAAACCATCCTGTGTCCTAGAAAAGGAGACACTTGGCACGCCAAATAATAAATAAGCAGACCCTTGAATCTTCTCCTGCCAGCTGCCCCTCTTTTTTTTCAGTGGAGCTCCAGCCTCCTGACCACTCCAGGATCCTCTTCTACTGTGGCTGCGTTATCTGATGTGAAAACAACTGGATATATCCCATGCCCTTGCCAGAGTCAAAAATTAAATGTTAGCTTCATATTAAGACATTCTGTCTTCTCTCCAGACTCACTGAAATAAACCCCATTCTGCTTGTACGGCTGAGGACAGAATATGGGAGCAACTCTGGTTCCTAATTCACACAGTAATGCTGCAAACCTCTCCAGAATATAGAATCATAGAGTTGGAAGAGACCTTCAGGGTCATCTAGTCCAACCCCCTGCACAATGCAGGAAATCCACAACTATTTCTCCCACACACACCTAGTGACCCCCTGCTCCACACCCAGAAGACAGCAAAAAAACGTCCAGGATCCCTGGCCAAACTGATCTGTAGAAAATTGCTTCCTGACCCCAAAGTGGTGGTTGGTATTTCCCTGGGCGTGCAAGAAAAGGACCACAAGAACGAAGAACTGATGCAACCCTTCCTGCCATCCCTCTCGTGATCTTCCTAAATCCACAGATTCAGCATTGCTGCCAGATGGCCATCTGTTTAAAAACCTCCAAAGAAGGGGAGCCTACCACCTCCCTAGGAAGTCTGTTCCACTGAGGAACCACTCTGTCAGGAAGTTCTTCCTAATGTTTAGCTGAAACTTTATCCCTTCCTCCCCTTTGTATCTTACATTAGTTAATCCCCCTTCTCTATTACATTATTCCCACCTGGGGTTGCCAGGTTCCCCCTGGCCACAGGAGGGGTAGGGTTGCCAGCAATGCTCCCTCTAAGCTGTGGAGTCTTGTGAGCAAAAATTCTACTTTGTGAGCTGCTGGCATTAAAGTTGTGAGCGAGTGATTTGGCTACTGCATATATTAGTTTGCTCTGGAGCCATCCTTCCTAAGACAAAAATGTGTGAGCCGGAGGCTAAAAAACTGTGAGCTAGCTCACACAAACTTAGTTTAGAGGGAACATTGGTTGCCAGACCCAGGTTGGGAAACTCCTGGAGACTTAGGGATGGAGCCTGGGGAGGACAGGGAACTCATTGGAGTACAATGCCACAGAGTCCACCTTCCAAAGCATCCATTTCCTCCAGGGCAACTCCTCTTTGGAGTTTGGAGATGAGCTGTATTTCCACCTGGAGGCTGGCATCCCTATTCCCACCACTCTTTAGGTCTGCTGTATCTGAAAAGCTAGTTTCCTTGGGGTTTTCAGCCTGAATCTCTTTCCCCTTCCCATTATAACTGGCGAAGGGAACTCCGCATCCTCACTACCCTGCCTGTGAAGCCCTTCCAGGCTCCTAATGTCTGCCTCCCACCCCTCCTGTCTCAATCCTCCTTCCAGGTTCTGGTGCCAAGCATTGGGAAGAAGTGTAAAAGGTCAGCAGCACAGGGAGCAGCAGGCTAGGCTCCTGAGTATTTAAACACCAGCAGGGGCTGCCTGAGTTGTTTTTAAACACCTAGCCTTACCTAAGAGCAGCTTTCTAAGTGGCATTTGGATTCTGGGGAAAAGGGTGTTGGCACTCTGGATATTCCTGCTCCTGGGATTTTCTCAGTGAAGGCAAAGCTGCGCTCCTGTACAGGTTAGTGTCATGTTGTTAAACGTCTTCCCTTCATATCCATGCTCACTGTCTCCTAGTCTGGGATGGAGCTTCTTTTCTTACTATTAGCATCTCTGGCATTTGGGTTCCATAGTAATCTTTGCAAAACCTCAGTTTCTTTGCTATTATAATCCATTAAAATTGTTATTAGAAAATGTTATCTCCTGAGAGGTAGAGATGTGAAAGCTTGGGAGGGGGGATCCAGAAAATATTTGAATGTTTTTCTCCCCTTTTTCAAAGGAAAAATTGGGGGCATTTTGGGGAACACTAAAAGAAAATCCCATTTTTCCCCTTCAAAATGAGTGAAATGCTTTTTAAGGCAAGGTTTTCTTCACCCAAACTATATAGCATGTGAAGTCTGAGGACTTTTTCAGCTTTTTCGTTGGAAAAATTGGGGAATGTAGGAAAGCACTAAAAATCCCATGAAATAGACTTTTTTTGTCCCAGTTAGTGAAATGAGCTAAGATAGTGCAGGGTGCAGCAGTTTGGAACTTTATCTTGTTTTAGTATTAGATATATTTGCAGTTTTGCTTGTAGAAAGCAAAGGATTTATACTTTTAAATTCCATAAATATATCAATTAATAAAAGTTTATATACAAAGCTATAAATTATGCATTTTTTACTGTGAAAACAGCAAAATAGGTTTAGGCTTGATAGTCAAGTAAATATTACATATATTTAAATTTCTCCTCAAATTTTTAAAAACGTTTTTAAACTGCCTTTTTTCCACGGCTTCAAAATTTCCCAAAAAATGTACAGTTCTTCTGAGCGGTGAGTTATGGTATATTTCACATGCATGAGGGTCAGGAATGAAAAGTAGGAATCTGCACTTCTGAACCAGTGTGGAAGCAGAGGTGATTTGCCTTATTCCTAGCCTATAGAGTGCCTTGGACGAATCATATACTGTTAGTCTTAGTTTTCCCATCTGGAAAAAGGGACACTGACAGTGACCTCTTGTTGAAATCTATCCTTGCGATGGGGTGATAAGGACTCAAAGTGATAAAAAGCAGATTTTTGGTTTTTAATGGGCTAGTAGTGGAAGCAAGGAAGAATGGTCAAACTATCCTGTGTTTATTTTAGTATAAGAGAAGATCTTGCAGCCCAGTCCTTACAAATGTTTAATCAGAAGTAAATTCCACATTCAGTGTGATTAGGTTTCTAAGCTTACTATCACAGAGAGACATTAATATTTTTGTTCCAAATGGACTGGTTGAGGCAAGACAAACGTAAATGTAAAAGTAACAGTAAGGTGATGCCATTATTAGGATCTGCCATTTCAATTAACATAAAAATGTTATTTCCTGTGGTACTATGATCCTTTTGTTGTGGCTGTAGTACATTATTTAAGAGCAAAATGTGGTTGCTATTATTTGTAAACCATTTTTATTATTTAAATCTTGGGTATGCTTGAAACTACAAACAAAACTACTTTTTTGTTTAAAAGATGGTTACTAAGGCAAAATGAAGAGTCACATTTTCTGCCCTTTGGTTCTGGTGAGAATTTATGGAGAGGGCCCATAGGCCTTTAACAAGTTCTCAGAAAAAGTGGCCACCTATAATTATGGATTTTGTTTATCCTATGTATGTATGATCATTGTGTTGTGGAGAATCCCCACTGGAGATCTGCCTTCTACACGGCTCAGGGAGCGCTTACCTGTTTACTGTGGTGTAGACAGTTGGATCTCACTCCTAGAGGTTGCGAAGAATCCCGTATCCTTGGAAAATTCCGTTGCAAGCACTCCAGCATGATTTTCTTGCCTCAGGCAGACCAAGCCTGTTAGCCAGAATACTTTAATAACCCCAATTTAGAGCAGTTAATACTTTATGGTTATTTTGGCCTGAAGACATCTCCTCACGCCACACTGGTACATACTACTTTTAGGGTTACCAGCAGCCTGGAGAAAAAAACTTCCTGCCCCTTTAATAAAGGCTTACGGTAAAGGTAAAGGTTCCCTTGCTCGAAAGCCAGTCGAGTCCGACTCTAGGGCTGCGGTGCTCATCTCCGTTTCAAAGCCGAAGAGCCAGCGCTGTCCGACGACATTTCCGTGGTCATGTGGCCGGCATGACTAAACACCAAGGCACACGGAACGCTGTTACCTTCCCACCGAAGTGGTACCTATTTATCTACTTGCAATTTCTTGCTTTCGAACTGCTAGGTTGGCAGGAGCTGGAACTAGAGACGGGAGCTCACTCCGTCATGTGGCACCCGGGTCTCGAACTGCTGAACTACTGACCTTCCACAGCCTGCAGTTCAGCGTCTTAACCACTTGAGCCACTGCAGCTCCTAATAAAGGCTTAATAGGATGCTATTTACTAGGTGATGTTATTTTTCTCCATGCCATAAGCCACTTGACCCATTTCTGTCTGGTTTCAGGCCTGGGTTTGGTAACAAATCAGCTTTAGTTGCATTGGTGGGTGATCTTTGTTTAAAGATGGACAGGGGACAGTCTTCCCTGTTGATACTGTTGGACCTCTCAGCAGCCTTTTAATACAGTTACACACACACACAAGTCTGTTGCATGAGATGGTCCAGAGTTTTGGGGTTGGGTGTAATTAATGTGCAGATGACACCCAACTCTATATTTCATTATCCAAGCCCCCAGATGCATCTGCCCTGGTTCTGGACTGGTGCTTTGAGGCTATGGTCCGGTGGCTAAGGCAGACCCATCTGAAGCTGAATCCAGACAAGACAGAGGTAATGATTATCAGGAAGGCTGATACTCTAGAGCAGCGGCTCTCAATCTGTGGGTCGCGACCCCTTTGGGAGTCAAACGACCCTTTCACAGGGGTCGCCTAAGACCATCGGAAAACACAAATTTTCGATGGTCTTATTTTAGCAAAGAAAATAATTTTATGGTTGGGGGTCACTACAACATGAGGAACTGTATTAAAGGGTCGCGGCATTAGGAAGGTTGAGAACCACTGCTCTAGAGGGATTGGATTCATTTGTCCAAATTGAATCGTTGGGTTTTGTAGAGCAGGTTAAGAGCGTGGGAGTGCTCATGGATCCTCTCTTGTTCTTTGAAAAGCAGGTTGGCATGGTGATCTGGAGCACCTTGTATCAGCTGTATCTGATTTGTCAGCTCTCTCGTTGCTAAGACTCAGATGATCTGGCTACACTGATCCATGCTTCTGTAATCTCATGGTTGGGATTACTGCAATGTGCTCTGTGTGGGGCTTCCCTTGAAGAGAACCCAGAAAGTACAACTGGTCCAGAATGTGGCAGTCTAACGATTGTCAGTGACTGGTTGCTGGGAATATATGGGACCCGTTTTGAAACAGCTACATTGGCTGCCAGTCTGTTTCCAAGTTTAATTCAAGGTGCTGGTTATGACCTTTATAGCCCTTCATGACATCGGGCCCACATATCTGAAGGACCCTCTCCTTCCATATGTCCCTGCGCACCAACTACGGTCATCAGGAAGGCTATCCCATCACTTAGGCTTGCCCATCTGACATTGACTAGAGCCCAGGCGGTTTCCATGGTGGCTCCAGCTCTGTGGAATGGGCTCCCTGAAGAGGTGGAGCTCTTCAGGAAGGTGCTGCAAGGTCTGCCTTGTTTGCCGGAGCTTTTGAGGGGTTTGAATGGCAGACATCTTTTAAGGGGGGGAACAGGGGGAGAATTGGGGAGAATTGGGGTTTGCCATTTTTGTTCCAACTGAACAATTTGAACTATTATTGTAAGCCACCTTGAACCATGAGGAAAGGCAGGCTATAAAAGACGCTTTCCCGTTTCCATGCATTAAGCTTGTGTTGTAGTAAAGGGAGAGAACATTTTTTTTCCTCCGGGTTGTTGGCAACCCTACAAGTTGCATTCTTTTTTTGAAATTGCTCTGAAGGGAAAGACAAACATGATCTTTGGCTATTTGTTGAGAGAGAGAGAAGTCATCTCACACAATAGCCTTAGATCTTTGGTGGGAGGGAAAACGGGCTTTAATCAAAGAGATCATTTAGGTAGTCTGGGAAGAGGCCCTCTTCAAACTCTTGCCTGGTATTGTTAAACCAGGAAGGTTTGACTGCAATCTCCACAGTGGGGGAGATTTGATTTTTGAGTTCAACTTTGAAAAACAAGCAGGCAAAAAAGCCCCCAAAACCTCTCAATGGAATGTGTGTGTGTGTGGGGGGGGTGCTACCAGGCTGCGGCTGGTGAGGAGCTCTTGCTAATGGCTACCTCTAGGCAGGATAATGTGTCGTCATCTAACTAGCCAGGCCTCTATCAAATTGCATCCTAGGAGACCCTTAACAGGAGTGGATTGCTATGCAAAGAAAGTGCTGTTGCGGGAAGACAGGACAGTCTTTCCAACAGAAAGCGAAAGGGACATACACATACACACACACACACTTTTTTTCTGAGGCCTCCTTTACCATTCAGACTTCAGCTGCCAGATGTGTCTACAAACTCAATAGCAAAGCACTTCCAAGATAACATGATCCAAAGGGTTATTAGCAAGAGGTGGATTTTTTGTAGAGTGCAGTTTGCTTCATTACATGCGGGACATACTCATGCCACAATAAGCTTGCAGTCGAGATGCTTTCTCCAGACCAGGGATTTCTCAGGTGTTGGACACACTGATACAGCACCTGCAGGCCACACACTCTTTGTGCTGTTCCTCATACTGATCTCCAGTAGACCAAACCAAAGGCCAAGAGTCATAGGAGTGCAAGGTTCCCCCTGGCCATTGGCAAAGGGTGTAGAGTTGCCATCTCCAGGTCGGGAAATTCTTGGGAGTTAGGGATGGAGCCTGGGGAGGACAGGGACTTCAGTGGGGCACAATGCCATAGAGTCTACCCTCCAAAGCATCCATTTTCTCCAGATCAGGTGATCTCTGTAGTCTGCAGATGAGCTCTAATCCCTGGAGATCTCCAGGCCCCAGTTGAAGGCTGACATCTTGACCAAGGGATTGGCAAGGTACAATCCAAACAAGTGACCTTTGTTCAAAGCCCCTATAATTTAGCCCCCCCCTCTCTTTCTTATGTTTCCTGCTCTTCCAGTTTCAGGCTGAATTGTGCAAGCAGCAATGTGGGGAGCTGCACTCCGAACATTCCTTAAGTTTATAAGATGCCACAGTGATCTTTGATGTCTGTCTTTTTTCTGTTATCCAAGTAACAACACCCTTATTTCTGGGATTCATTTTGTATAAATTCTCACAATAAATGGTTTAGGAATCCTGTCACAGTTTGGAATCCCAGGCCTGGCATTTAAATTTACCCAGCTTGTAACAGACAATGCTGGTGGGGGAGGGGACGTCATTGCTCCCCAAATTTCTACTGCTTGTAATTTTAAATTGAGACTATTAATGATGTATGCATTCCTCAGACTAGATACTCCAAAAGGCAGTTGCTGTGTTAGTGCATGTTCCTGGGTTGTTGAGGTTGATCTGGGAATTTAAATGGAATGCATGCAATTTACAGAAGAAGTCCTTAGTTCCTCAGTCTTCTGTCCTACAATTCAACTATTAAGAAACCTCATCTACACCACAAGGGCAGGGCATGCAAATACAAAGTCTGAATTCAACCCTTGGGAGAGAAATCCTAGCGCTACTGTTTTCAGAAGAATTGCCTTCCAGAAAGCCAGTCAATTTAACACTTTATCAAACAAGTCCATAGGTTTTAAATTTATGCATTCCAAGCAGGGCCACAATGAATCATTCCGTCCTTTGTACTGTCCATCTCGCTCAGATAAATACTATAATTTCCAAGTAGCAGTGTGAGAATGTGTTCCTCCTGGAAAGGCAGGATGCCATGCAACATCTCCCAATCAATTCAGACCTCTCTGGGGAAATTTGTTTTTGCAGTGTATTTGCTGCTGAAACTTGTAGCTGGCCATTTCTGAAGACCAGGGTGGTGTTGGTTGTCCATCACTACTAAAAATGCATATACTTGACTCTGCTTTGTTTACTTTTTATTCAGCTCCAGTGTAGTGGTTACAAGTGGTAACCACTTCCGCGTTGTCCATTTGATCCTGTCTTTGCTTTTATTCTTCCCAATTTCCAATATTTACTTCTGGGAATGGTAGTCCCTCACTGAGGGGGCCCTGGGAGGGGGGTCTGGATCAGGAAGATAGAAGTTACTCTGACTCCTGGAACTACCTGGGACCCTACAACTAGCAGTGCAGTGGTACTGTCATTCAAGTTTAATATCATAACTTCAAGCAAAGTTTGAGTCCAGTGGCACCTTTAAGACCAACACAGTTAGCTTGAATAAAGCTCTGGTGATCTTAAAGTTACCACTGGACTCAAAATTTGTTCTACTGCTTCAGACCAAGATGGCTGCCCACCTGGATATAACTTCGAGCATTTTTCATAACTTGCCCTAACTTATCTGTTTAGAATCAATTTACCTTTGGAGTACTGTCATGGACTCTTTATTATTTAATAATCTGTTCTATTCTCTCATGGTAATACTGAATATGGTAACCAATGAAAGGGATCAGAATGGCAGTTGCCCTAGGAAAATTCCAGTACTCTCCTTACAGGGTCAAGAGTTGCCCTTCAGTTGTTTGTTTACACTATAAATTGGAAGTTAATGGGAGTGAGCCACACCCATGCTCATTGGATTACATTCTGCATTCATGTGTGTTATGCATAGTACTCAGACCCACCTTCTGCTGTCTCTTACATTTTTTGACCTTTTGGCCTTGACCTATAATTTTTTTTGTCTTGGCTTGTTGTAGGGTGTGTAGTAGTATATATATAGATATACTTAGTCACCCAGGTGACTATTTCATGCATTTGTCGAAGTGGGCTTTGGCCTATGAAAACTTGTGGCCACACAAAGGAAAAAAAGTTGATGTACTTAACTGTGTGGAAACCAAATATTAATATATACAGTGGAACGAGTACAGTGTGATTAGTGAAAACAGCCCATATATACAGTGCACAGTATAGTGAGGTGTTAATATTTGGTTTGTGCGGTATATTAGCCTTCTTTCCCTTTGTGTGACCTCTAGTACTCCGTACCTTTTGTGGTTTCCTACAGAGGTCTCTCTCCCCCTATTTTTCACTCTTTTTCCATGAAAACTTGTGCCAGGATAAATACTTTAGGCCCAACAAGACTTAGGGTGGGGGGTTGTCTGCTGGTCATGAGAAAATTGGAGGAATCCCATTTCCGTACCTTCTCAGTCAAGCATGTTCAATTCTCTGCAGAGCAAAAGGAACACCATTTTCATACAGCACATAAGAGGGGAAGGTAGGAGGCAAAAGAAGACCATTCTCTCTTGTCAATTACTTCTTTGCAGTGTAAAGACTGGGTCTTTGAAATAAACTCCCACCCATTTCAGGTCAGTGGTTTGGGGCAGGGAGAGCTCTTTGGAAACTCTCAGGCTTAACAGTTATGCTGGGCTGGATACAGTGATTTGCTTGCACAAATTTCATGAATCTTCCCCATTTTGCCCTCTCCACCAAGCAGTCCCTTCTGAACCTAGGACAGTTAATCCCCAGAATTACAGGAACAATATGGAGTAAACACCTAGGCACCGTGCGCTGTGGTGAGGAGGGGATGCTTCGGTGATCTAAAGCACCTAACCCTTCCTAAACAAAAATCCACTATTCATGCAACCACCCACTCTCCGAAAGCATCCTTTAGTATTGAGAGGCCATTTATATGGTATGTCCACAGCACAGTGGTGGTAGACAGTACTCCCTCTAAGCTGTGGAGTGAGCTACTTTGTGAGCTACTGGTATTAAAGTTGTGAGCGAGCAATTTGGCTACTGCATAAATCAGTTTGCTCTGGAGCCATCCTTCCTGAGCTAAGACAAAAATGTGTGAGCCGGAGGCTAAAGAACTGTGAGCTAGCTCACACTAACTCATCTTAGAGGGAACACTGATGGTAGAAAGTGCCATTAAGTCACAGCTGACTTATGGCGACCTCATAAGGTTTTCAAGGCCAGAGACATTCAGAGTTGGTTTGCTATTGCTTGCCTTGGCTATCCAAATACTGGCCAGGGCCAACCCTGCTTAGCTTCCGAGATCGGGTGAGCCTGGGCTATCCAGGTCAGGGCAGAGAGGCCACAGCCTAGAAGCTGCTTCAAATCACCCCTTCCGGCCACTGTTGTTATAAGGTGAGCTATCTAGGTGGAACCCTTGCTGTTCACTTGTAGTACTGTGGAGAAAATTGCCCAGTCTGCATAGTAAGCCATTTTGCACAACCATGGAAGAGTGGAACAATTAATGGTAGCTTCTGTGTGATGAACAAAATATGAAAACGGGACCTGAGAGTTAGTGGACAACTGTGTTATGATCTCAGACATTTGATTATGTATGAAGACTTGAGCTGCCTTATCCTGACTCAGACCATTTTTATATATAACACACTGAATGTACGTTTACACTTGGTCTTCTTAGCCATACCAAGACAGGTTATGGTAATTCCCATTTTGTAGATGAGATCTCTGATGCGGAAAGAGAATTAATTACTAGTGGTCAGCAGTGTTCCCTCTAAGATGAGTTAGTGTGAGCTAGCTCACAGTTTTTTAGCCTCCGGCTCACATATTTTTGTCTTCGCTCAGGAAGGATGGCTCCAGAGCAGACTTAATTTATGCAGTAGGCAAATCATTTGCTCACAACTTTAATGCCATTAGTTCACCAAGTAGAACTTTTGCTCACACGACTCCACAGCTTAGAGGGAACATTGGCTGGTCGGCTGGTCTACCGCAGTCAAATTTCTAGGTGCCGTGACACTTGGGAAGTTGATTCCTTCCTATTCTCTATGATTTTCTTTTGACTGGGTACATGCATAGGAAGGGACTTTAGTTATGCGTTCTCAGTACCCTTCCCATTTAACCTCGACTTTTACAATAGAATCGTGAAAGACAGCTTACTCAGTGTCTCACTGCTTGGTCCTCTCTCTGCTGGAGATAACACGACTTTCCTAAGCTAGCAATGAAAAGGGGGAGGGTCACTGGGACAATCTCCTTGAATGTCTGATCAAAAATAAGGCCCTTAGCTAGTCACAGTGATTACTTGGGTGTGTGTAAAGTGCCATCAAGTCACAGCTGATTTATGGCAACCTAACAGGGTTTTCAAGGTGAGAGACATTCAGAGCTGGTTTACCACTGCCTTCCTAGTGGCCCTGGAATTCCTGGGTGATCTCCCATCCAAATACTAATCACGGGTGACCCGGCTTAGCTTCTGAAGAGATCAGGATAGCCTAGGCCATCCAAATCAGGGACTACCTGCCCCTTGGGAATAGAGTTCCCCCCGGGCCTTTTGGATCACCTTCCCTTTCTCATTGCTTTTACTGTCTTTTTGACCTCTTCACATTTGCTAGAGAAACAGAAGAAAGGCTTTGGCAATAACAGAGGCAGCAGCCCCACCAACGGAGCAGTGGTTCCACTATCACCATCACCACCACCGGAGAGAGAGAGGGAGGGGGAGAGAGAGATGCTTTCTGTGTTTCTCCTCTCTGTAGGGAACAAAGGATGGATGTTGGGGGAAATGTGAGCTTGCAGTGAATTTCATGCTAGTCCCTCAAAGCCGAAGCTACTGCTGTATGAGCAAGACCATGCTGTCGAAAGGCTCCCAAGCTTTCTCTGCTGCAAGGGGTGTTGCAGAAAGCCAGAGGGTGCTGCTGATATGATGCACAGAGACCTAACCCTGCTTCTCCCTGTGCAGGAGACCCACTTAGTCTCTGGGTTCGGCAATGACTGTGACATACACAGCCCGTGTGGCCAATGCCCGATTTGGTGGCTTCTATAAGCTGCTGTTGCTCTGGCGCGGAAGCATCTACAAGTTGCTCTACAAGGAGTTCCTGGTCTTCTTTGTCTTATACGCAGGACTCAGCATCACCTATCGGTAAGTGGACGTATTGGAGAGGCACGCTCATATCTGTGGCAAATGTTGATTAAGATATCCCATCACTGCTCAAGGACTGATGGACACATCCTCTGTTTGATCCAGTTATCCTTCAAACGACTCCATAAAGCAATGCAGATTTCCTAAGATAGTTTCTCTTTAGTGGAGAGGGGGGAGGGTGTTAAATGTATAAATATGGCACTCCTCAGAAGGCCATCTCCACCCCTTTTTACAACAACTATAATTATGTTGTTTCAGACTGATCTGGAAGTAACCAGTCAGTCAGAGCCGAAGGGAATGGGCCATCTCCCCCCCCCCCCCCCCCCCCAGCCTTTTTTTTTTTTTTTTTTACGGCCCTGCTGTTGAAATGTAGAAATGTTGGCAATGAGGGGTAGCGTGTGAAAGCATCTTCGGGCTTTCTGTCTCATGCGGGCTGTAAAGTTCCACCTGTTTGAGTTCCAAATCCTACCCCCACCTGTTTTTCAGCACCAGGCTATATGACATATTTTGCTACTCAACTATTTTGGTCCAGCTTGGGTCTCATACTGAAACGTTTGAGTTTTTTAAAAGAAAGAGCTTCCGCGTGGCATCATGATCCTTCACGCATCCTCTAGCTTTTCTCCTTCTTGGCCACCATCTTTCCTAAACCTGCTTTAGTGTCATTTTTTTAAAAGATTCCAGTCAAAGTGGGATGGCTACCATGTGGATGGGAAAGTGCAGATTTTCTCCAGTCCCATCAGCATCGGTGCCATTTTCCATCCCTGAGTCCTCCATAGCTGCTGTTCCCCCTTCCATGCACTACCAAAGGGCTTTTTAATTTTTTTTTCTTGATTGGTCATTAATACATTGCTAGCATTATGTAGGGGGTGGCCACAGGAACTGGAGTCAGAGAAAGTATGTGAAAAACTACCATGTACATACACTGTTGCTACTACAAATGCATTTGCAGCAGCAAGAAGAGCCAGAGAAAGTACCATCACTACGTGAATGCATTTGTGAATTATACCACATCACACCATTGTTCTATAAAGGTTAGTAGTGGCTTACTCTCACTGGCAGTGGCTCTCCAGGGTTCCAGATGGAGGTCTTTCATGTCCCCTGATGCTTTTTTTAGCTGGAGATGCCAGGGATTAAACCTGGAACCTTCTGCATACCAAGAAGATGCACCACCAATGAGCCATGGCTCCTGCATGTGAAAACAGCCTCGGTGTCAAATCAGCTTCTAGGTCTAGGACAGCAGATTATCGTGCACACCACTCGCTGTCAATAAAAGTGTTATGTGGTGCATGTGCCCATTTTTGAACATGTGGGTGAGATGAGTCCCTAGCTCCTGGCATTCTTGTTTTGAAAAGCACTGTTATGAGAAGTCTCCCTGATATTTACGTCCAAGTCCATCCTAATGTTTACAGACAGCCATGGTTTCCATTTAAAAGCCTGTACTTGCTCTTCAGGCAAGACTCTTCTTTTGCATGAGTGTGACCTAGTGGATCTTGGCAAGCTTGCCCCTGGGTGTACGTGTGGGCGTGAGAAGCCTGCTGCAAGCGCGCACACACCCTCTTAATCCTTGTCTCCTTCTTATTTCCCACCTATAGCTTTGTCTTACCCGAAGATCAGAAACGATATTTTGAAAAGCTGGTCATTTACTGCGACAACTATGCCAATCTCATTCCCGTCTCCTTTGTTTTGGGTGAGATGCTTGAACAACAATCCCCTTCTCGTTGGAGCAGAGGCTCCGCCCTATCCAACTCCATCAGTCAGAGCAGACACTGGAAACTGGCTGAGCGCATTTTCTTGTTTTCTCTTTGCCTGCTGCATGGCCTTGTTGGGCAATACTGGATAAACTTCCGAGTGTAGAAGCAAAGAACAGTTTCTGGTTTGGATATGAGTTCTTGCAGGCTATAAAGGTGGGGTAGAGCAGAGGATAATATGGGCTCTATCTGAAAACTGGGTAGAGTGTGGAGGGTTAGTATATGTGTTAGTCATACATCTACGAAGAGGTGCTGAAGCTCAAAGCGATTAGAAAGCAGTGTCCTTTACCCAGATTGCTGCTAGCCACTGTGTGAAGCAGGATGCTGGACTTGTCTAATCCAGCAGAGTTATTCTTAGCCCTGCTCAAAACTGTCTGAAAACAGTGCCCTGTATCCAGGAGAGTCTGTTTTCTTAATCTTGTATAGTTTGGGGCTGATTTTGGTTACTCACTGAAGAGGGAAAGACACTTTGCAAATGTTCAGATACACTCTTACTTTTGTGTGTTTCCAAGGCTGATAGCAGAACAGGTTCTGGGACTGAGCCCAGGCCTTTACCTTAAGCCTCCAAGTTAGCTCAGATCAGACTGCCTGACTGTTAAGTGGCTGAGTTTTACTGTCTGTAACCCTCCCTGTCTCCTGGGTTCATTTAGGCTTCTATGTGACGCTGGTGGTGAACAGGTGGTGGAGCCAGTACACCTGCATGCCGATGCCAGACCGGCTGATGTGTGTTATCTCTGGGACTGTGCATGGCACTGATGAACGTGGGCGGCTTTATCGGCGGACACTCATGCGGTACAGCAGCCTGTCAGCAGTGCTGATACTGCGCTCGGTCAGCACCGCTGTGTTCAAGCGCTTTCCTACCATTGACCACGTAGTGGAGGCAGGTGAGTGTTTTACTGACAAACTCTCTTCGCACCAAGAGAAATGTCATTACAGGTATGGGAGTGTTGTGGGAAAGATGGTAAGGTGACAGCTTTAGATGTTTGCCCCCCAATGTTGGGGCTGGTCAGATAGCAAGATTTTAATAACTGTTTTCTAGTAGTGATGCTCAGAACACCTTTTAATCTGGTATGTGTTGCTTATGAATGCCACTAATACAAGTGAAAAAGAATAACCTGTAAGCAGAATGTATACTTTAGCTAGCACTAGTCAAATTATAGAGGGAGAAAATGCAAAAATAGAATGTAACTGTCATTTGTGGAAAGTGGCTTAAGAGTGGCCAGTTGAACAAAAATGACTGAAGACCTGTAACCATCCTTGAGACAAGTCTTGTTCCCTTCCCAATGTCTACTAGGGACTTGTCAACCATATGTGCATTGTGAATTGTGTGCTTGGACTTCCGGTTTTTGGAGGGCTGATGGCAGCTGTATCCCTGGGGAGCTCCTGGGGAGCGATCCGAGGACCAGCGCATTGAGAAGGGGTGTGAATGTCCGCACCCCCCTGGGACCCTTGTGACACGTCTCTTGCCATGGGGCACTGAGGGTTGCCTCTCTGCAGGCATGCTGCCAGCAGATTGAGGATTCCCTTTACCCCAAAGGTCTCTATGCTGTGTTCCCGAATGGGACTCAGCTACGCACACCGGGACAAGCGCTTGGAGGTACAGCATTTAAATCGTTACCTGGCGAGATCCAAGTGATCAGACGTTCAAGAGTGAGTCCGTTAAAGCAAGAACACCAGAAAATGAGCGAGTCCCCCTATTACTAAAAGCGGGGGGGGGACTCTCCCCCGGAAAGAACAAATAAGCGATTAATGAAAAGTCTTTGTAGTGGGGACGGAGTTCTAAGGAGGCAATAGACTGTAAGAGACTCCAGGAGCCAAATAAGTGTTGGGCAAGTTTTTGGGACTTTGGCAAATTCTATAAAAAGTAAACGTTTAAAAATGGTGATTGGCGAGGCAGTAGAAGCAGCAAGCAAGATCCAAGCTTTCTTGAGGAAGTGGAAGAGTAACTGGCCCATGTGACCAGAAGTAATCATAGACTCTTTCAGGCAGTATGTTAAGCCTTTTCCCCCTGCTGGCAAAAATGAGGTACTTCACAAGAACTGTGCTATATATTGGCTGTTATTTTCAAGGGACTGTGTTAACATTGGAGAAGCGGCTAGCCTTTGATCACAGGGACTTCCAATATTTAAGAGGAGAGTCTAATGAGTAGGTTCAAGCGGTGGAGCCTGTAAGCAGACGTTAAGCGAAGCTGAAAGCGAACGGGTATGCCATGGACATATCCAAAACAAGTCTGACGGGTAAAAGGGTGGATAGACTCTCTGTAAGTTTGGCTTTCAAAAGCAACAAATGGAATGATGTCTAAGATTGAAGGCAAGAATTCAAGCGGATAATAGTCCTTGAAAAAGAAAAAGGGACTTTTTTTTTACATGACCGGTTCCAGTTCCAGCAAGACAATGCCACATTTCTCTTTAACAGTTAAATCAAAGGTTCAAAAGATATTTTAGCATGTCTGACTAAGTTCAAAGGATATTAGCATGTTAAGAATAATTTAATCAAGCTGTTGTAGTGATCTCCTACTCTTGGGGTTTTAGTTAGTAGTGGTTATCTTTTCTTTCTCCTTATTTGTACCCCCCCCCCCAATTTTCATTGTAGTTTTTAGAAAATGCAAAACTTTTCCCTCGGATGACCGTGGCCCCACCCCCAGCGTGCCCACGTCACTTCTGGGTGACGTGCATGTCGGGGTGGGGTTCCCCCCCGGGGCCCGATCTGCCGGCGGTGGGGAATGGGCCTCTGGGGCGGGGTTTCCCCACCCCCTGGGGGGACTTGGCAAGCCTAGGACTTGTTCTCTGTTTTGCAGCATTTTAACCTCCTCTTGGAGGTTCTCTCCCACGTCCATAGCCATCTCAGCTTTTTTTTTAGGCTTCTTTAATGTCTTTTGTTAACTCAGTCAGTTTAGCGTTTATTGGGTCTAGCTTTTCATCTAAAGATTCTTTAATAGACTTCATAATATCAAATTTAAGTTCAAAAAGGTTTTCTTTCATTACATACCCCACTCCTGTATCTCTGGTTTCTGTTGTGGCAGCCATTTTGGAGGTTTTAGCCTCAGAGTTATCTGCAGCTTTTGTTGACTCTCCTCGAGGAAAGAACAATTTTACTGTTGGCATTTCTTTTTGAGAGGACTTCACCTTCGGTCCTTTGTTTCCCCCCATAGTCTGGGAAGCAGTTGGGTGTAGTTTGCTGCTCGATTTAGACCATATGGAGGAGAGGAGTCAGGAGCTTCACAATTTCGTGTTCGCCATTACCCAGTGACGCTCCGCCCCCTTGTTGCTTTTAAAAAACTTTTACTCTCTCGTTGCTCTCGACACAGCCTTGGGTGTGTGTGCGGGGGTGCCCCCAAACTTATTTAAATGCCCCTTGAAGTCTAAAATCCTGGCTATGGCCCTGACTACTGCCAGGGAAGAAGGCAAAAGGATGCAACTGGATCTTCAAAACCACTCATGATGCAGAAGGGAAAATACGAAGATACAACACCAGATTAGTTACTTAAGGATACTCTCAGGAAAATGAAGATTATGATGAAACCTTTGCAGTGTGAGACATATGTCTCATTTACTAAATGCCCTACTAGGGAAACACACAGATCCCCATGATCATAATGCAGCCCAGATTCAGTGCTTTTGATTTAAACAGAATAGTTATGAAATCAATGGGAATGAAAAGTGCTTAGCTTTTGCTGGATCATGTATTATTGGGTTTCTATTTTTTCTGGTGTATTGCACGAATTTAATTTGAATGTAAATGTAACTTTCGATATTTCACAACTTTCTGTACTAGCAAAATTCTGAGATCTCGTACGGAAGAAAGAAGGCTGGTATTGATGTAGGCAGAGAAAAGAGATGTTACCCTCCTGTACTGAGTATCCCCAGCCATCCCAAGCTCCTGTTCAATAAACTATACTGAATAAACATTGTGAAAACAGGTGACTGAACCTACTCAAGGGGTATAGCTGAAGATCATGCAGTCTTTGTCATTCTCCCCACCTGCTCTTTGTCTCTGCTTTCCAGGGTTTATGACACGGGAGGAGCGCAAGAAATTTGAGAACCTGAACTCTTCCTACAACAAATATTGGATCCCTTGTGTCTGGTTTACAAACTTAGCTGCACAGGCACGCAAAGAGGGCCGTATACGTGACAATAGCGCCTTCAAGCTGCTCATGGAGGTGAGGCTGGGGTCTCCATCATGAGAGTCCTTACGCTTTAGTAGTTATAATGCTGAACTAGGAGCTGGGGGACACAGGTTCATAACCCCTGCAAGGAGGTTTGCTGGCTGACCTTGTGTCAGTCATTCTCCCTCAGCCAAACCTACCACATAGTATTGTTGTGAGGATAAGAAGAAGGGCAAATTATGTCATGTTTGGTGTCCTGAAGGAGGCTGTGTCTTCCTTGGCTTCTTTGACCTATCTTTTCCTTTGACAGACTGCCTTACAGGGTTTGAACTGTGTATTAAAGGAAGGGGAGAGAAAGCTTTTCTGTCTTTTCTTGTTCTGGAAACATGGAAGAACTTCAGCTCAACAGATGTTTCCATGCCTTATGTTAGTAATGGCTGCTCTCTTTGTTCAGGAATTGAATGTTTTCCGAGGCAACTGCAGCATGCTCTTCCACTATGACTGGATCAGCGTACCACTAGTCTACACACAGGCAAGTAATGGATGTCACTGCTGATCTGTGACTGGTCTCACAGTTGTGATTGTGGTCATTACGTTCATCGTGTGAAGCAGCTTCAGCTTTTGTGTGTTTTACCCCACGAGACTGGGCTGGGGGCCCTGTTAAAGGATACAGTGGAAGGAACTTTTGAGTTCATGTGTTTCTTCTCTGCCAGTACTTCCAGAGGCTGAAACTGCATGTTAGCTTATCCAGCCTGAAAAGTATGCAGACGGAGAGTGATTTCAGCTAAGCATACCTTTATTTAGTTCAGGACAAAGACAACTGACTGGCTCGCAGGCCGGTTTATATATGTTCAGAAAACCCGCCACCAAGCATACCTAAACACACCCCCTACTCCCGATAGGCTATTTACAGTAACCGGGCGACCATTGGTCTCCCGACTGGGAAGCTAGTCCTTTTGATAGGGCCGGCTTGGATCCTCCGGATCCTTTGTCTTTCGACTGAAGCTAACATAGGAATTGTGCCTGGCCAGCCCGGGCAAGTCCGGGCATGTCAGGCTGAATACATTACACAGCCAATGTTTTAAAAGATCACACAAATGTAGGGGCAGGGTGGAAAGACCACTTGTAAGAAAAGATCAGCATGTGGGAGGGCTGCTTAGGGTTTTGGAGATCATGTGGAGAGAAAATTAAAATTATCTGGGATACACTTGTACAGGAGAATTGGTATATGGGGGAAGGGGTTAAACAATTCCTTCTCACACATCCGTTTCCCCCCCACATATGTGTTGCAGTTCCTCTCACAGAGAGAGAGAGAGAGAGAGAGAGAGAGAGAGAGAGAGAGAGAGAGAGAGAGAGAGAGCGCCACCTCACGTATACCACAGCTGGAATTGGCTTCAGAGCCAAGTAGGCAGACTCCAGGAATCTTTCCTTCATTTGAAAAAAGCGGCTACTTCACCTCATTGATGATGAAGCAACTACCATATGCTGAGCCAAAGCAAATGTTTTCTGCTCTGGAAAACTCAGCCATTGATCTAGGCCTGCCTCAGCTAATTTGTTACACCAGAGATGACACTATGTATGGAATAGCAATCCACAGACCCTACGTGTTATGTGGGACATATGAGATTTAGAGCCCCTACAGTACATACTTGTTCAGAATAAGTACTACTCTCTAGTTGTGTGCCCACAATCACTATAATATTCTTCTGATCAATTTCTTTAGGTTAGTTACCTTTAAAAGTAAAGGTAACTAACATAAAGAAATTGAAACCTAAAAAAACCTTTAACACACACAAATCATTTTTGGATTAAAAACATGAATTGTCCCTATTGTTTCCACACTTACTTGGGAAGTGGCAATTCTAAATTGTATTAGTAATTCTATATGGAATGTGGGCGACTAAGTAGCCATTTGCAATTAATCAAGTATGTGAAGGTCATAGAATCATAGAGTTGGAAGGGGCCATACAGACCATCTAGTCCAACCCCCTGCCCAATGCAGGACCAGCCTAAAGCATCTCTGACAAATATTCGTCCAGCCTCTTCTTGAAAGCTGTCAGTGAAGGGGAGCTAACCACCTCCCTAGGCAGCTGATTCCACCTTTGAACCACTCTGACCCTGAAAAAGCTTTCCCTAATATCCAGCCGATACCTTTCTGCATGTAATTTAAACCCGTTGCTTCGGGTCCTATCCTCTGCTGCCAACTGGAACAGCTCCTTGCCCTCCTCCAAATGACAGCCTTTCAAATATTTAAAGAGAGCAATCATATCCCCCCTCAATCTCCTCTTCTCCAAACTAAACATTCCCAGGGCCCTTAGCCTTTCCTCGCAGGGCTCAATCTCCAGACCGCTGATCATCCTCGTCGCTCTCTTCTGCACCCTCTCGATTCTGTCCACATCGTTTTTGAAGTGAGGCCTCCAGAACTGCACACAGTACTCCAGGTGCGGCCTGACCAAGGCAGTATACAGAGGAGCTATGACCTCCTGCGATTTTGATGCTATGGCCCTTTTAATACAACCCAAGACTGAATTTGCCTTTTTAACCACCACATCACACTGACTGCTCGTATTTAAGAACATAAGAGAAGCCAATGTTGGATCAGGCCAATGGCCCATCCAGTCCAACACTCTGACACACAGTGGCCAAAAATATCAGGTTCCATCAGGAGGTCCAGCAGTGGGGCCAGGACACTAGAAGCCC